CTGCACTGGGTACGGGCCTGCACCGCATGGGTGGCAGTGGGATGGGTGCAGGGACCCACTCCCCGTCCTGGGTGACTCAGCCTCGGGGATGTGGGTTCTGGCCCTACCCCACAGCAAGGCATGGGGGGAACCTGTCAAAAAATGGCCTCTTCTTCCTCCTCCTCCCTTGACTGGTGAAGGTTCCAGTTCCACCATAAACTGGTGACCTCATGAGTGACATCAGGGCTTTTATTCTTCTTTTCCCTCTCTGAGCACGCAGGAGCTGCTTTTCCTGGAGGTGTCTGAGCCGGGCATCGCTGGGCACGCCTGGCCTGGCCATGCCTCCCTCCACTCCCCCTTTTTGGGGCTGCCTTGCAAAGCCGGCTCCCAGCCAAACACCCTCTCACCATCACCCCCACAGGGCGGAGTGGGCTCGGGGGCAATGCCTGGCCAGCTGGAGGCTCCCAGCTTCGCACCTCTGCCCGGCCCTGGGGTTTCCTCTGAGGCAGGGCAGGCAATGTCTGTGGCACGGAGTTTCGGCAATAACCCTGCAACCGCCGGCTGGGTTCCTCCCTTCCACCTGCTGGGGAAACCGGAAGGATCAGTTTCCCCTCCCCATCGCTCTTCCCAGCTCTTGGCTCCCCTGGCAGCCGAAGGGCAGCGGTGGGGCCACGGGGGGGTAAAGCCAGGCTGGTGCAGCCTCCCCCCATGCCCCTGCCCTCCGCTTCCCACTGCCCAAGCACAGACGGAGGTTTTGGGGTCCCCGGAGGAGACCTCCCAGCCAGTCCCCCCCCCAGCCCTGGGACACACCCCATCCCACCACCCATCCCCACCAATCCATGTGGGTGCCACCAGGCATCTCTGTGCCTCCTAACCCTTAAACTTGCCTGGTTCACCCAGACTGGCACCCCAGGCTGCCTGGCAGCACCCCAAAAGCTGACAGTTGTGGGAGGCCAAAAAGGCCCCGGGGGCACATGGCAGCAAACAGAAACTTCCTTATTGTTCCCAGAAAGGTGTCCTTGGGCTCAAGGTGCTTGAGCAGCTGACATGATGGGGTGTGTGTGCTGGGGTGGGGGTTCCTCTTTTCCACTGGTGCCACAGGGTGTGGGAGAGCAGGAGGGTAAAGTCCCCCCAGCAGGGGCTGCCGCCTGCCAGAGCCTGGGCCACTGCTGTCCCCAGCCACACACCCTCTGGTGCTCCCCAGTCCATGGGCTGTGCCCTGCTCCACTCGGCTGCAGGCACCAACCCCACTGTGCGAGTGCCCACCAGCCCGGCCAGAAACCCTCTGGGATGGGCAGGGCTGGCAGGACCAAAGGGGAGGGTGGCTGAGCCCAGGGGCAGACCTTGCTCTTCTCCTGGGTCGGGTCTGCCCCTCTCCTGGCAGGGGAGGTGATGAGGATGGCGGGGAGAGACCCGGTTGTGTGGGGGGACACTGGGCAGCAGAGCCGGGGTCACCATCAGGGCCAGGCTCTGCAAATGGGCAGCATTTGGTCCCTGTGCTCTGGGGTTTGCTCTGTACAGGGGTGGATGCAGACCCCTGCCCACCCGGAGCCCCTGGGAGCGCTGTAGCATCTCCAGGCTCATCGCGTCTGCTGAGGCCCCACAAGCCCCCATGCGATGGGGACTGTCCCGATGTCCCTGTGTTTCCCCTTCCTGCAGCAGGCTTGGACCATCTCCCTGCAGGAAACAGCCACTTTTGGGGCACAGGTGGGGAATTTCCCCCTGCTTGGGGAGCAGGGTGGTTCAAGGCAGAGCTGCTCCCTCGGTGGTGGTAAGGAAGGGGCTGGTGCGTGGGCTGGAGGCTGGGCTGGGTGGGGTGGATCCAGCCCTTCGGCAGCCTCCTACCGGATGATGTGTTTAGCATCCCCGTGGGCACAGGGTGGGGAAAATGAGGGGCCAGAGCCCCTGGCCATATGGGGAAGGCAGATACCTGAGGAGCTGCCTTTCCCCCCTGGCAGCCCCATGGGGTGTTGGCTCTCGTGTTGCCCCACCACGATGGGTGCCGCCCCGCCCCACCAGATGCTGTGCACGGGCCAAAGTCCCAGATTCGCAGGGTGCGCTCGCCACTGGCATCACCTGCCCCCGGGCACAACGGGCAAAACCCTGCATGGCAGAGGGGTGTGTGCTGGCAGGGAGCTTCAGGAACCGAGCTGCCCTCGCCCTCCAAGGCATTACCTTTGGTGTGGCACAGAGTTATCATGAGGGGGAGGAGGAAGTGCAGCTCTTTGGATTTGTGCTGATAAAGGGAGTGAATGAGAAGCAAACCCAAACTCATCTGGCACCAGCTGCACAAGGGGTGCCTGCTGCGGGGGATTTCCCCCTGCCCGCCGTAACAACCTGGCCAGGACGTTCTGAGATGGGGGAGGAGAGGACCGTCCTCAAAGGGCACAGGCTGGCCAGAGGGAAGAAGTGAGGCAATGCACCCTTTCCTAGGCACAGCCTTCCTCCTTGGCTCCCCTTCTCCTCCCTGCCCCAGAGATAAACCGTCCTGTGTGCTCACCCAGCCCCAAAGGTGCTTTCTGGGCAACTCCGTGCCCTGGTTATTTGCTGGCATGTCAGAGGCGGCAATGCAAGGGCTATTCAAAACAATGCAGGAGCTGACATGGAACGTGGGGCGTTAATCATTAACGCCGTGCCGGGCACAACACGGCGTAATAACCATCACAGCAACAATCCTGGGCACCCTGCTGAAGATTAATTCGCTACCAGGCTTTGTTAGGTCCAAGCAGAGGAGGTGGCAGTCCCATGCTGGGAGGCGCAGCAGGGGATGGGGAAGGGGCTGGGCGCAGGAGAGGGACACTCCGCAGAGGGGACCAAGGGGAGAAGCCAAGCAGAGCCCCTTCCTGGGAGAGGTTTGGGCACCTCAGCATTGCAGGGCTCTTTATAAAGCAGAGCGTGCTGAAAACTGGGGATCAGCTCCCCAAGCTGGGATGAAGGTGGCTTGAGCACAGCCTCCCTCCCATGCAGGGATGGGGATAGGGCCAGCACGCCCTGGGCACTGGCATCCCTCCAGCGCTGAGATTCCTCCATTCGAGGGGACTGTGTCTGTTATCCCCGAGGACGCCGGCTGGAGGGTCCTCCTCTCCATCTGTGGGGCACAGAGGGACTGACGTGCCATGGGAAGGGTCAGCCTGGACCCTGTCTCCCACATCCCAGCCCATCATGGGAGCACGGGCACTCCCTGCTCACCCAGCACAGAGATCCCCACCAAACAAGCATTATGCATAAAAATAACCACCAGCAGCAATAATGCAAAATTCCTCTTCCCCTTCAAGCTCTGGAAAGGTCAAGTTTCATGGCAAGGCTATTTTGCTTTTGTTTAATTATCAGCCAGCTCCGGGACACGGAGCAGCCCAGACAGGTTCTCCTTTGTACGGCTGCACAAAGCCAGGGAGGCCAGGCTGCGGGGGGGTTGTTCGGGGCTGGGAAAGGCCTGAGAACTGGCAACTTGGGCAGCGTAGGCTAAAGCTGGTGCTGCATGGGGCTGAGCCGTGGGAGCTGGCAGGTTGGGCTTCCCAGGGAGGGCTGGCGATGGGCCAGTTGCCCAGCTGGCTCCCAGACACCCAGGGATGCTCCAGCCCCTCTGGGCTGAGCCAGGAGGTGAGTGGGACCCTGAGAAACAGCAAGATGGGGAGCGACCCAAGACTGAGCACCTTCAGACAATGAACCTCCACATCACCCGGGGAGGGACGAGCCGAAGCTCTCCATCAGCC